CTGACCCACAGCAGCCAATCAGATCCTTGTTCCAGCTTGTTTCTATGATGACAGCTCCACAGACAGATCTCATGAACCATTTAGCTGCTGTGCTCTGATGATGTCACAGCGCTGTGATCCAACATGGCGTCCAGCTGAAGAGGGTGTGGTTTATGAAAAAAGCTGCAGAGTGGGCGGGCGATAAGTGGATTTTATAAAAAACGACATCACTACAAAAAAAATGCATCAGGCGGTTTAAAATCTGCAGCGCTTCAATATAAAGTGCTTCATTACATTGTTACATAGTTTGTACAGTTTGTTATTAAAATATCGTTTTCCCTGGAGTGAAACCATAGTAAACATGTTACACGTTGGTAAAAATAAACTTCTGGAATGTCTCTGTTTTTAAAGAAGTCCCATTGGCTGATTTACGTCAAGCTGAGCTTGTCCCGGAGCCTGAAATAGGAAACGAGTCCAAAGGTTAAACCTTTCATTGTTCTCATAGAGGTCAACATACAGGAAGGTGATGGGGACGCGGTTAATGAGGATAATGAAGGTGAGATCGAAGCATCATGGGTAGTCAAGACCAGTGGTTGAAGCATGATAAAAAATAAAAAAAAAGACGTAGGTCATGAGTCCAGACCCAGAACAAGCAGAAACTGTAATATTTATTTATTTTTATTTTTTTACTTACAAGTTTTATTTTCCGTCACACAAGGACGTCTTTGTTATTTGTGTCTGTGTGGTTGTTAGCCTTTTTTTTTTTTCAAGGAATGTTTTTCTGTATCTTCTGTGATAGTTTTTTCTTTGAGGTAATTGTGTCTTTTTCTTGGTCATTTTTTAACCCATGTTTTTGTCTTGTGTCTTTTCTGTTGCAGCTCCGACACTTTGGAATAAATTACCATTTAATATAAGATCTGCTGCCACAACTGAGCAGTCTAAGTCATTTTTAATAACCCATTTCTTTTCATTGGCTTTTACCTCTAGTTGAGTGTTTTATCCCAGCAGCAGTGTCTACTAGAACTTTTACTATTGTTTTGTGTCTTTATGATGTTTTGGATGTAATGTATTTTGCCTGATTTACTATACAGCACTTTGGTCCGCCTCGGCTGTTATAAATGTGCTATATAAATAAAGTTAACTTGACTTTTGTGTATTTTTGAAGTTGTTTTGTAGTTTATTTGGTCTCTTTGTAGTTGTTTAATGTTGTTTCATGAAGGGAAGCTGAAAAATAAGTTACTAGTTTATTTTTCAGCAGAAGTTATTCAAATGTTGGATTTTTCTGTAGATTTCTGGATCACTTTGTCTGCAGGGGTTACCTCAGCTGTACCGTCTCCTTCATGTCAACATCCCATGAACATTTAGACAAAGGTTTGACCTGTGACTATACTGAATGTTTGAAACAAACATCTACACTCTCACCTGAACCCCATCGAAGGAGCACACCTGTCAGACTGATATTTACCTCATCTGTGACTGACAGCTGATTGAATGAAAAACGTAATACCTTTGTAAAAGGAGACGCTGTAGTAGATGGACAAAGCAGCTTTGTTTCAGGGCGTAACAAAGTTCACATGGCATGATGGTGTGGATTATTTTGTGTTTAGGTTAAGATGGACTGAGTCTAAAAATACTGAAACCCAAACATTAATTGTCTCCTTGATGTCTGGTCTGAACATGACTCACAGCATGAATCACAGCAGTTCATGTTTGAACATCTGTGCAAAAGGTTTGGACCCAGCAGATGATTTTTTTATTTATTATTTAGACATTAAATTAAACTCTTTGAGCAGGAGATACACCGGTTCTTGAAGTATAACTAACAAGACTGAATAAATCTGAAAACCGTAAAGCTTAATGAACCAGACCCAGAGACGATATTAGAAATGTAAACACATGAGGAGCTGCATCATCTGCTGAGTCCGTAAAGCACGACGGTGACAAAATAAGGCCAAACACAAAAACACAAACAGCTGCAACATAAATTCTTTTAAAAATAAGTTTAAATATAAAAGTAAAAAAAATAAATTAAAACGAACAGAAAGTCTATAAGTGGTTCCAGATGTTAAAGAAGAAGCAGCAGGGATGAGGATGATGATGATGATGAAGAATGAGGCAGGTTAGCATGCGTTAGTGTTCTTCCAATCAGCTTAAGACAATCTGTGTGTTTGTTAGTTCTTGTCCGTTAGCATGTTTGTTAGCATGCATATGGTGTTGGAGTTAGCACATGTCCGTTAGCTCTTGGCAGTGATGACGGCTGATTTATTGCTGGAGGGGGCGAGGCTTGGCGTGTGCAGCATGCTGACGAAAAGGAAGAGGGTGGAGGTGGGTAGGTAGACGCAGAGGAAGAGGACGACGTCCTCACTGAGACAGAGGATGAAGTCGCTTTGCTCTGTCAGCACCCAGTCCACCAGCACCCCCACCAGCAGGTAGTACACCTGGAACTCCTGAAGCTCCTCCCACTCCCCTCCACCCACATCAAGCCCACTCCCTCCTCCTCTGACGAGCTCTTCTGCCTGGCCACGCCCCTTCATCACTGCTGTCACTCACCATGGGCTTCATCTCCGCCCTCTCAGACACTGCTTCCTTAACCCGGCTCCGCCCACGTTCCACCGCTCGCTCCAACCGCCGGCTGTTTTCTACAAACTCCTGCATGGGAGGGACCAGCAGGGAGCGAGGTCAAAGAGAGGTAGAGGGGGACGAATACAGGTGAGTCCACATCCAACAAAGATTGGGGGGGAGAGAGAGAGAGGTGGAGAATTCATTAAGAAGGTGGAGCACATTCTCTGCATGAATCCTGAGAGGTCAGCAGAGCATCTTTAATATCTACAGTTATATTCTAACAATATGATATTTATTATTTTAGATTTTTTAAAAGTTTGATTTGTCCCAAACTTCCACAATTTCCGAGTCCGATCCATCCACCATCCATCAGTCCATCCATCAGTCATCAACCATCTGAATGTACATCGATGGCCAATCAAAAGCTTTGCCTTCAGGTTCAGATCCAGCATTACTAAAGATGCCTCCGCAACCCATCTGTCAATCTAATCATGCTATTTTACCCTCACAACGAAAAAAAAAGATCAAGATACTTGGAACTCCTTCACTTGAGGCAGAGATTCCCTCCCAAACCAGAGGAGGCATCCAACGTTTTTTAAGCAGAGCATTATGGCCTTGGAGGTACTGACCCTCATCTTGCCGAGGATATGGACACAGCTCTCATTTTGGTCATAATGGTTACTAATGGCTTCTGCAGGTCCACAAAACATATATAGTATGTATTGACTAGATGAGCGAAGTTCTTTGAGGTAAGAAGCTGGTCCACTGTCCCACAGCCAGGACAGGATCCGCATTTTTTCCTCCTGATATCCGAGGTTTGACAATTGGTCGAAGCCTCCTTTCCAGCTCCCTGAATTTAACTTTCCCCGGATGGATGGGAAGTCAGTGTTATACCCCGATTGTGGGAGCACACCCTCCGGTCCCCTTATTATCAAAACTACCATCCCATTCTGCCACTCTACAGGTCACACCTGCTCTATGCGAGAACTGAAGAGCCCTGTTAGCCGAGACAGCCCAACAATGTCCAGAGCCTTCTTTGTTAGTCAGGTTCACTTTTTCCACAGTCTAGCCGTTTTCACATGTGCACTCCGGATAATATCTAGATATTTACAGGAGGACCGCTCTGGAGATTCTCCCGACCTAGCCGTTCACATGTGCTCCTCACAGCGGGGGACTTTCCCTGTCAGAGGGGAGGGGGGGCGCGGGGGATTTCCTGAGGTAAGACGTGATGTAAATAAACAGAGTCCGCTACACGACGCTATAATGAGAATATTTGTCTTTATATCAATGCTATGTGTAATCCAATGGAATGACAACATCCACAAAAGAGAGGAGAACAACAAACTGACCAACAGAAAACAGAATGCAGACGTTTAATAACGTTCACAGAGATCGTAGTGGTCGCTATATAAACGACATTCTCTTCCCATTGGCTTGAGGTGAAATCTCCGGAGTATATGGTGCTAGCGTTCAGACATCAGCTCACTCGGACTTTCTGCAGAAAAATTACTAGGGGTCTGGCCGGAGAAATTCCAGGTAAAGTCTGCACGGAAAATGCGTCTGTTTGCGTTCACACACAGCCTAAAGAGTTTTTCAGGAGATTTCTGTATGTGTGAAAAGGGTTTCTGACAGTTTCCCCAGTCAGGTTCTGCAACACTGCCTGATGACACTAAACGTGCTTCTCATTGGCCTTCCAGAGGTTTTAGTGATGTCGACAGTGTGTTACTGCAGGGGCTTTGGAGTCCCATTGAAGGCAGTCACTATGCTGGAAATGTCTCTCAACTTAACTTTCAGTCAACCTAAAGACAGAGTTGAGACAGGCTTGAAGCATTTTGTAAAACAGGTCGGCTATGCACCTTATTGTGGAAAACTTTTATCCTTTATTTAAATCCAAACAGATGAGTTACCAAAAATGTCTCCCCCCATTCAGTGTGTGCTGATCGAGACCTATTTAGTTTTTTTGAACCAGACTGCAAACATATTAATTTCTGCTGTAAAAACTGGCTTTTTGAATGGTGTGTATGTGACACTGCTGACTTTGCACTTCCCATCAGCTTCACTTCCAACACTGGAAGTTACTGCTTGGTATTTATCTACTAACCTATGTGCTGCTTCAGGAGACACCCGCACCTGAAAGACCTCATGGAGGGGGGGAGTTTAAGACCAGATCAACCTGATGCCATGACATTTGAACTCTCATCTTTGGCCTGAGGTGTTCAGGTACCAGGTTACTGATAAACACCCCCCACCCCCACAGAAGTACCTGTTTGGTTCAGAATTATCTTTTTATTTCTGATGTAGTTCGAGGGAGTCTAGTCAATCATATCAGATACTGAAGCATTTTCTCTCAAATTCTAACCAGGACTCCGGAGGATGTGGACAACAGGTTTGCGTTTCGTTAAGGTTTATGTGAATAGAAGGTGTTTTAAGCGTGCTGCTTTCTCACCATCAGAGCTTTGTCATGAAGAACTCCTTCCCCGGAGTCCGTCGTTGTACTTGGTGTCGATGGCGAAGCACAGGAAGAGGACGTCCACCACGATCTCAAAGATGGACAGGAAGCAGTGAGCCACGAGGAAGGAGAAGAGACACACGATGATCAGAGGCAGCAGCCACTCAGCGTAATCCCGCTGGTAGTTGAGGAGGAGGACGCCGGCGAACGCTGTTGACGTCACAATCAGGATCTGAGCAACAAACACAATAACAAAGTCAAAAAGTTGTGAAAAGCAGTCATTCGAGTTTTACAAAAATCTTCAGACGTCAAAGAAGGAAAAAGAGAAAATGATCACCAATAGATGACTACGAAGAGAGTAAATTCACTGATTCAGAGTGAGACATCTCAACATTTCAACATCATCAAATCTCTCACAACATATCTCAGGTATGAACCAAAATATTTCAAACATGCATGAATTATACAAAGAGAGTGACTCATAAAGTCATACCCACATCATTTACTTTTTTACAATAATAGCCTCTGGTGACTTTCTCACCTTCCCCAGGAAGAGCACGAAGTCTCCGATGGCGTTGATTGTAGCGACGCGCAGAGCGTTCTCCACCAGAATCACGAAGGCGTCACGAGCAGACGTGCAGAAACTGGTGCTGTTGATGGCTGTGGCTGCATATGCATTCTGGGAAATAAAACACAAGCGAGACGCGAAGTGAGAAGAAACAAAACACAGCGGAGACAGGAAGTAAGAAGAAACAAAACACAGGGGAGACAGGAAGTAAGAAGAAACAAAACACAAGTGGGACAGACAGGAAGGAGAAGAAACAAAACACAGCGGAGACGGGAAGTAAGAAGAAACAAAACACAGGGGAGACAGGAAGTAAGGAGAAACAAAACACAGGGGAGACAGGAAGTAAGGAGAAACAAAACACAGGGGAGACAGGAAGTAAGGAGAAACAAAACACAGGGGAGACAGGAAGTAAGAAGAAACAAAACACAGGGAGACAGGAAGTAAGAAGAAACAAAACACAGGGGAGACAGGAAGTAAGAAGAAACAAAACACAAGTGGGACAGACAGGAAGGAGAAGAAACAAAACACAGCGGAGACGGGAAGTAAGAAGAAACAAAACACAGGGGAGACGGGAAGTAAGAAGAAACAAAACACAGGGGAGACAGGAAGTAAGGAGAAACAAAACACAGGGGAGACAGGAAGTAAGGAGAAACAAAACACAGGGGAGACGGGAAGTAAGAAGAAACAAAACACAGCGGAGACAGGAAGTAAGAAGAAGCAAAACACAAGCGGGACAGACAGGAAGGAGAAGAAACAAAACACAGGGGAGACGGGAAGTAAGAAGAAACAAAACACAGGGGAGACAGGAAGTAAGGAGAAACAAAACACAGGGGAGACAGGAAGTAAGAAGAAACAAAACACAGGGGAGACGAGAAGTAAGAAGAAATAAATGAACAGGTGAGGAGCAGGTGTGGGATGTTACCTGATTGAGATAGTTGAGGCACTTCTCCAAACACCACAGACAGCAGATACAAGTTTTCAGCAGGCAGCGAGCACACGCATTCTCCTGATAAACACAAACATCATCAGCTGTTACAAACATCATCAGTTAACACAAACATAAATAAACGCCATCAGCTGATAACATCATCAGATGATACATCTTCATTGCCATGTATCTGAGAATGCTTTGAATGTGCCCAATCTACCAGTATGAAATGCTAAAACATGCACAGTCATGTCAGGAGGCGTGCAGTGGGTGATGGTGGTGGCTGCACTCAAACAGTCATGACGGTGCATGTCTTAGCATTTTATACTGGTAGGTTGGGAACACGGCTATATAAGACGTAGCCTAGGTATCAAACATTCATCAACACCACTTTTAATATATTATAGAATAAATACAAGTGTGTGTACCTTTCCTTTGAGCTGGTTGTGTATGTACATGAGGATGAGTCGGGGGATCTTGACCAGTGTAATTATAAAGGATCCTTTGGCGACAGTGCCCAGGTGATACCTGACCAGCCTCAGGACGGAGGACAGGATGGGGGTCAGTGGGAGACGGTTCTTGTCCCTAAAACACAGAGTTCTCATCAATCCACTTCGCAGAGACTCATCATTGAGGGAGTGATTAAATATATCTGAGTAATACGTTTTATCAGAACACACATTTGTAGATGAATTTAACCTGTTGATCATAAACCTAGATGTTTATGATCAACAGCATTCCCTCTGTTTCACTTCAAAATCAAAAGTAGAGTTGTAAGCTTTGATATGATTCTAATAAGAATCAAAGGATATCTGTACCTCTTTGATACCACAGCAACAAAAACAGAAGTCCTCGACACACAGTGTTGGGTCATGTTTTGTTTTGAAGTGACAACATTTGCAGGCAAACTCCTGCAAACTGTCTAAATAGCACAAATGCGGTGACAACATTTGTAAAAGAAAGTGGAGCTGGTGAAGAACGAGGGCTCTTATATAAATGTTGCCCATGTTTTTGTGCAATTTAGACAGTGCTCGCTGTCTTTCTCTTGCTGCAGCCTTCAGTCAAACGTCTAACAAACGATCTGAAGTTTTTGAAAGCTTCAGTACTTTTTGACATAACGGTAATCAAACATATAAAATAACGGAGATCGTGTTAAAACATGAACAAAAGTATTGAACATTTTGTCAACATTGATTACAAAACTAAAGGCTGTGAGCTCTGAGGAAAAGTTATTTTAAAGGATAAAAAAAAACACCAACATGTTTCTAACTGATCCCGCACAAAAACTAGCAACGTCTGCATCTGTTTTTGTTGCCATAGTAACAAACAGGTATCAATATCGTTTGACTTTTACTAGAATCGTATCTAAGTTTGAAATTCTGGTATCATGAGGACCCTACTTAGCTTCACATACATTTTTGTCACATAGGGAAACAGTTAGCTTAGTACTGACTTAGTACTTAAGACTGGACACAGATAAAAAGAGGGGGGTCAGCTTTTGCCTCACCTGGTGAAGTAGTATGTGACCACGGCACCGGCCACAGTCATCTGCTGACAGGCCAGGATGAACTCAGTGATCCAGATCAGACCCACGGCGTGGTACCAGGTCAGGTACTGCAGAGGACCGGTCAGTCTGAACTCAGTCAGACCTGTCTCCTCATTCTGCACTGGGTTACCTGCACAAGGGGACGTAGGTTTAATCCTTCATGTTAATGCCTACCACAGTTCCTACAATGCACTGGTGGGTGTAAACTGGAAGCAGGGAACAGGAAGTGGAAGATGTAATGACATAAATGTAGTTCTGTAGTTGTAAAAAATGATCCAAATAAAAGACAAGTCAATCAGAATCTGTCAGAATGGTCGGGTGATCAGAAAGAGGTGACATCAAAGGTTTAAACTGACCAGTGGTCCCAAGGAAGAGCAGAACCAGGACCCAGTACATCCAGAACAGCAGGAGAGCCAGGAAGGTGACGAAGGGCTGCAGGGTGAGGAGGGGAAGGTGCAGGAAGACTTTCCCTGCCACGTGAAACAGAGCGATGGTCAGAGAGACACGCCTCCTCATGAAGAGCATCAAAAGGAAGAGGATGATCTGAGAGAGAGAGAGAGAGACATGAATAAAAAAGAGAGGGGGAAGAGACAAACAGGTAATCATCTTGACATATTGAGAGTTAATTTCAGTGTTAAGCCCCGCCCACTGATTTTTCGTACGGTGAAGACGGTGGCAGCGGCAGCATAGACGAGCAGCGCCTGCCCAACGTCCTGCCTGACCTCCTCCTCCTCCTCCTCCTTCACCACTTTAGGGGAGGTGTCGTTCCCATACAGCCGGTGATCGATGTACAGCCACCAGAGAACGCTGGTCCCCCCTGAGGACACACACACACACAGCTGATCAATACTATCTGTTATTTTTCTGATCAGTAGTATCAAAAATGACTGAAACTCTTAAATAACTTTGTCTATGTATGTCATGGACAGGAATTTTTAATTTGCAGGCAAACTCCAGCCTATTGTCTAAATTGCACAAAATTATTGGTAATGTTATAATAAGGATTATTTTAAACCAAAAGCTGCCGCAAGAGATAAAGTGTAAAGTTTAAACTCTTTAAGCAATTTAGGAAGTGGGCAGTAATTTGATTGCAATTTTTGTCAATTAAAAACAATAAATTACCCAATATTGGGCATCTAGTACTTCTATTTTTGTTGAGAATAACAGGAAGTGACCTCACCGAGGGATCCAAGGACGACCAGCGCGGTGAGGATCCAGACGAGGACGGCGGAGATGTAGCGAATGATCACCATGAGGATCATAGAGAGGACTGAAGACACACAGAGGACAGATATTAGACTTCTTTAACGAACACAAACAGATCAAATTACATTACATATTGAACAGTTTAAAACAGACTTCAGGTGAGTCTCACCTAGAGCCAGCACACACAGTCCGATGATGATCTCTTTGCTGCTGGCGACGCCGGCGATCAGGCGGTGCAGGACGCTGTTATCGCCCACAAACGTCACCACGGCCTCCGCAAACTTCGCATAACACGAAACATCCAGCGGCGTGCAGCGGTTAAACACGGGGAGGGGCTTACTGAGGACCACACGCACAGTCACAGAGGTCACAGGTTTAGAGGACAAAGAAACATCGCTGCTGAAGTCAAGCAGGTGAGGCGGGGCTTACCTGGGGGGAACAGGAAGTTTGGGACATTTGGAGAACCTCTCAGGCAGACCTGGATATTTATGACCCGCTAACTCGTAAGAACACAACTCCGAACCTGAAACAGGAAGACACAGATATGTGATGACATCATCAGAATCTTCTTGACATCATCATCTTCATCACCACCAGCATCCTCATCACCACTCGCACCACCATCATCATATTAATCACAATCATCACCATTATCTTCACAACTATCATCATCTTCATCACATCATCATCATCCTCATCAGATCATCACCAACATCACCGCTATCTTCTTCGTCACCATCACGACCATCATCACCAACATCATCTTCATCCCCACCACCAGCACCATTGCTTCATCAACATCATCATCATAACCACCACCAACATCATCATCACCACCATTATCATCATCATCATCTTCATCACCACCATCACCATCAGCATCCTCATCACCACCATCATCATATTAATCATCACCATTATCATTATCTTCACAACTATCATCATCATCCTCATCAGATCATCATCACTATCTTCTTCATCACGACCATCATCTTCATCATAACCACCACCAACATCATCATCATTACCACTATCATCATCTTCATCACATCATCATACTCGTCACCACCATCGCATCGTCATCATCCTAACCAACCATCAGACGTTGTTACCATCAGACGTCGTGACCGTCAGACGTCGTTACCATCATCGCCATCGGCATCTTCAGCAATGAGGTGCAGAAAGGTTCGCCTGGGGGCGGAGCCTGATCCCTGCTGTTATAGCGGCCCTAAACAAAAGGCCTCGCTGAACAGGCAAGAGTGGGAACTTGTTACACTCTGTGTTTTGTGTATGTTTTTTGGTGGAAATTGTCTGTGCTGACAGTAACAGTGCTGTGAAAAGAATTGGGGACAATAAAGTCTAAAGTCTAGGTCTTCATCACCACCACCATCATCATCTTCATCACCACCATCTTTATCACACTCCCCACCCTCATCTTCACCACCACCACCATCATCCCCATCACCATCATCTTCTTCATCACCATCAACAACCACCATCATCTTCTTCATCACCACCAACAACCACCATCAGCATCCTCATCACCACCATCATCATATTAATCATCACCATTATCATTATCATCATCACCACCATCATCATCATCTTCATCACCACCACCTTTATCAGACTCCCCACCCTCATCTTCACCACCACCACCACATCATCTTCTTCATCACCATCAACAACCACCATCATCTTCTTCATCACCACCAACAACCACCATCATCTTCTTCATCACCACCAACAACCACCATCATCTTCTTCATCACCACCAACAACCACCATCATCTTCTTCATCACCACCAACAACCACCATCATCTTCTTCATCACCACCAACAACCACCATCATCTTCTTCATCACCACCAACAACCACCATCATCTTCTTCATCACCATCAACAACCACCATCATCTTCTTCATCACCATAGGCTAAATTATTTAACATGGTTGATCCTTTATGGAAGGATGAGATAACATATTTAGCATGTGGAACCTGATCATTTATGCTAAGCTAACATCTTTAGCATGTTGTTCCTTTATTTTTCTGTCACAGAGGTTTCTTTCATAAACAACATGGCCGCTCAGTAGCTGTGAGGTCACTTGATGAATCGTCCATCACGTTTAACAGTGAACAGACTGACAGCAGCCATGATGGAGGACAAATGGAGCACAGTGGCACCAAGACACAACACACAACAACTGCCTTTGTTACTGTACAGAGTGTGTGTGTGTGTGTAGCACTGTATACATGAACACTTCTGCAGACTTCAAATCATCATCATCATCACGTGACAGCAAGCATCCGTAGTACTGGTGACATCACTTCACACACACACACACACACACACACACACACACACACACACACACACACACACACACACACACACACACACACACACACACACACACACACACACACACACACACACACACACACACACACACACACACACACACACACACACACACACACACACACACGATCCATGAGTGGTCTAAATTAATAATCTGCATTATTATACTGTATTATTATTATTTAGCATCAATATATACTGTATATATTCTTATTATATATATTTTATTATATTAGTCTATATCATATATTGTATTACATTTCATTATATTAAACCATATTGTTTATATTGTACTATATTATATAACTGCACTCTGCATTACCGTGCTACAACACTGCCTCTCTTCTCTGCTGTTTACATTACTTGCTGCTATTGATCATACCGAGTCACTTTAATCATCACTTGTCACTTTATCTTGTCATTCTCTGCACATACTGTCTCATTTCCCTGCATAGTTAACTTCATCATTCATTTTGTACATGTATATACCCCCTATTTTTATTTATCTTATCTAATCTATTCCGTTCAATGTGTATTTTGTATGACCTTCTTACTTGTCTGTGCTGCTGCAACGCCCAAATTCCCCTCAATCAATAAAGTACTATCCTATCCTATCCTATCCTATCCTATCCCATCCTATCCTAGACAGACACTAAAACAGACGCTGAAACAGACGCTGAAACAGATTGCTTTTTTAAAAAATGTAAAAACACAAGTTTCCAGAGAGTAGGTGGACCTGGGCTGTATGATGAGCTGGGATTTTTAAAAAGTGCATAACATGAGTAGAACAAAACATCAATATTTTACTACTAATTTCAGTTCATTGTTGGAATCACCATCAAACACAAAATCTATTCATTTCAGGTCTTAAAATAAAAAGATCACAAACAACTCCTACATAATTATAAAATCAATATTTTCTCTTCGTGATCAGTTATTTCACCTTTTTCATTCAATTATAAAGAGAATAAAAGTCTCACAGAGTGGGAGTCTGTCAGCAAGAAGCCCGTTTTACATTAAAAGTCATAATAACATTTTATATAAGTCTTATATGTGTTGTGTTTTCTCTTAAAAAGCTTTCAGTATTCCTGAGACGATCTAATGTATCTGTGGTTATAAAATATAGAGTTCACCATTAGATTATCAGCAAATAGAAATCAAATAATAAATACATAATTTAATAGGCCTCATAAAATATTGTGCCTGTAGAAATGACATATCAATGAATCAATCATTAATGAATATGGCAAATGTATACAAAATATTATCTCAAGACACCTTCCAGAGCGTGCCGGTCTAGAGCTTACTCTTTTTTGTATCTATGTTTTCTAGCAGAGTTTGTTCTTCATGTGCTGTTGATTGTAATCAGGTATCATACAAACACTGTTATTGTGTTTGTATAGAGAGAGCCTTCTCCATAGCAGCCGCCCCCTCTGGAACTCACTCCCTACACACATTCAACACTGCACCGATCCTCCTACTTTCAAATCACTTATCAAAACTCACCTCTTTAAACGAGCTTTTAATGTGTGATTGTGATGTGTTTTCTGTAGTTTTACCTTTATTGTTGTTATCTTTATGATTTGTGTGTGTGTGTTTTTTTTATTAGAATGAAGACAGTTTGCATTTCTGCAGACACAAACTGAGGCTAAAGCAGACTAACAGCTGATCCAGCAGTGATCAGCTGATGCCATTATCGCAATCAGACGTCGCTAAACGTGACGTTTCCCCCTGAAAGAGCGCTGTGTCTCTTTAAACTCTTTGTTTCCTAACTATGCATCCCCCGGTGGGAGGGACTAAGACGCAAGCAATGGATATAAGTGAAGGATGGATGGATGAAGCATTGAAGGGAACTGAGACGTAGCCCAGGTGTGCTGTGAATTATGTGACTCACCGTTAATCATGGCGAACCTCTGCAGGTCCTGGTAGGTGTTCATGGTTTCAGGGGGGCACAGAGACACACACAGAGCCACAGATTTGATTTTCCTCTGAACGATGTCGATGTTACACGGGTCCAAGAAGAACACAAACCTGCAGGATACAAAGCACAGTACGTCACTGCACCGCACGCCTGCAGTTTTTTCCCCCCACAGGTGTGTCATTAGTGAATCTGGGATCATCCCTTCAAATTAAAAGCCAGTCGTCCTTTTCCAGAGAACAGCCGTTCTCCGCCAGCACAATCAACACTCAAAACTTCACCAGACATTGAACGCAGCATGTGTGATTCTTCCATGTGTACCCATCTTGAACAGAACCACCTGGCAAACTAGGACAACCACAACAAGACAGAACCACCACAGTAAAACAAGACCACCACCACAACAAGACAATAATAACAAAAGAAAACAGAACGGCAACAAATAAACAGTAACACATAGGTAACATTTTTCTGTATTTGTCCCAAACCGTTACTGTACGGGCGTGAAGGTTGAATGCCTGCAGTCACACGACAAATACATCTTATAAAAGTTGAGATGAAAGGCAATCACACAGAAGTCTAGCTGGGCGGTAATCTGCTCGTAACTGTTTGCTAATCGCTATTAAAAAAACAAACTAAGAAAAAGTGGAAACAACAGTAAAACACAAAAGAGAAGAGTGACATAGCAGCAACATAAAGTGGTGAAGCTGCAAGATAACACGGCATCACCTGGAGGAGCCGATCAACAAAACTCTGTAGGTGAGAGCAGAGAGGGTCTGCTACTTTTTTTTTTTCAAGCTATGCACGTTTCCAGTAGTAGAGGATCCAAGTCTAAAGTGTGTATTAAAAGTGTTCAAGCCTTGTTACAATGTCCCAGCCTGTGTGCACATAAACCAGTCTGCTGTGACTGCACACTTCATGATGTGAATTCATATTGGTAATAGTAATATTAATGTTGTTCTTTGTACGGACCTCAGACTCCCACATCACTCCCAAAGGCATGAGGTTTTTTTTTTTATATACCAGACCGTTCAAATTAGGTGTTTTCTTTATGTGTTCTTCCTCTTTTATTGTTCAATGTTTAATACACGACATGACCTACTATCACAGGTAGTTCTTAACAAACTGTAACTTCCATGACTGCTGCTTCAGAATAAAACAGAAATATGCTTCCAGGACTTTTTGTTGTTTTCCTGTTGAACAGAATTCGTACCGAAGCGTGACCCCAAAACCGAACCTTGACCCCTGTGAAATGTTACACACCGAACACAACACTTAAACAGCACACAATATCAAAACAGTACCACCACAACATGCACATGTTTAGTTGTGGTGGTACTGTTTTGATATTGTGATACTTCTTCGTTATTGTGTTTTGTGGTTCTGCTTTCTATTATCATTATTTTACGAGATGTTCATTTGATAACTATGGTGCCATTGGAAATCATTAAGTAATGAAAATAAATGTAAATGGCATATTTTTGTACTTGTTTTGTACATTTGTACAATTTCAATAAAAGTTTGGGAAGGAAAAAAAAGGAATGGCAAAGCGAAACCTGTGCTAATATCGTTAGCAAGCAGCAGACCTGTATATCAAACAACTCTTCACACAGTCACAGCGTCTATACCCCTTTGAATGACCTCACAGTGGGAGTGATGGCTTGGTGACATGGTTCAAACGGATTTGTTTGAATGAGACCTTCATGGGGCTTGACTATTTTTGGCCAGCATCACTTTGTCTGTACACATGGATAGATAGGCTGCTAGCTGTTTCATTTAAAATCATTCAATACGAGGTATATGTATTAAAGTGAGCAGCACTACATGCTTACACACAAAAAAAAAAATTACATTAAGCAGAGGGGTTAACAGCAACACATCTGCACAAGTCACACCGAAAATATTATGCCATCCTAAAAACACGTGAAAAAAAGGAGCTATTTCAAAGATGTTGAATTCATAAGACTGAAGGTTACAGCTACAAAGTGCAACATTTCTGCACTGAAAAAATCTGCATGTTGGCACTTGAAAATAATTAACAGTATAGGAGATGCACACAACTCCCACAGCAGAGCACAGAGAGGTAAAAGAGAGGGAATGAGTCAGGGAGAGAAAGAGGAAGATGGCCTATGGCTAGCAGGGGGGAGGAGAGAACACTGACATGTGATTGTTGGTCGACGCTTGACACCTTTTGGTTTTTACCAGCCTAACCACGTCACGTCATTTCAGTTGTCATTCAGATGTCTGTGTATGCGTCAGCCAAATGCTCAGTTTAAACTTTTTTTTAAGGTTAATCACTGGGAAAGTATACAGAAAGTATTTGGATGCAAACACTGTCATATTTTAGCCATTCTGTGTGAGGCATTGATAAAATAATTCCAAACGAGCAGACGTGATTTTATCTTTCATCAGTGCGCTCTGCAGTCGGATCGGTTACGGGCAGAGTGAGTGCTTCTTTAATGCAATTATGAAAACCGCTAACTCAATCTCCTCAGTGTGTGCATGAAGAAATCACGCCTCAAGTATTGACAGAAGCATATTCTTGTTTTAAAGACTTTCATTGGCTACTAAAAACATCAGCTTGGCTCTGTTGGCAGAGGCGGGCACCTTCTTTCTACTCGAGCCCTCATTGGCTGTTACAGGCTGGAAACAGCATGTCAACGACCATAAATGGCTGAATAAGGTGTCATCAAAAGAATCGAGTGATCGAGTCCTATCATAGAATAAATTGTTATTCCAAGTCTCGATGACAAATAGTTTAATGATGCAAATGAGGATTTGGACCAATGAACGCAAAAACAAACAAAAAAAAACCATTTGACAATCAGTCAACGGTGTGCAAAATCTGACGAATCAGGTTTGACTACGTTGAGCTTCGCACACACAGAAAGATTTTCAAATTCTTAAACGATTTTGAGAAAGAAAGAGACCCACACACATGATGACAAATATTCACAAGCGTTAACAGTTTAGTTCTTAACCAACTCAGCACATCACACACGAAAAGATTCATTCACCAACAGCCAGGGTCTCGACTATCAAAACGTGTAATCTTGCACGATCAAACGGGACTTAAGATTTAACAAACACGATAGTCAAGTTAAATATGGCTAGCTGTTAGCTGGTACATCCATCACGCTAGTAGCCGTCCTGTCCTTGGAAGTTCGATTGTGATATGTTTAACATGTTTAACCAAAACGTTGGTCCTCCATTTATGACATCCACCGAACTTTATGCTGTTGTTGCCATGGTTATGTTGGTTGTGATGATTCCTACTTCAGTCAGTTTGCTTCCTGATTGGCTATAGCTCCGTTCTACGTAACAATGGATTGAATCCATGCTCAGCTGTTCCTCAGTCCCCCCCACCTCTTCTCCCCACACAATCGTAAATCAATATTTACAATAAATTGGATAATCGGCCCGATACCTTGTAGTGTGTTGTTAGTCTGGGGCAGGCAAAGTGTAGATAAAGTCTGTAAATATTAATTTGACATCACTATTATGATAATAATCAAGGTTTAAATCTGTCTGGAGATGCCAGAAGCTCGACCTCGAGAGGCATACACTTCATCTGCATGTGTGCAGGCAGCTGTTAGGCAGTATGGTTATGAGCTTTTCTTTTGACTGGGCGAGCTGCTCATTAAGGCTCACTCTGGGAAACTAGCTTTTGTTATCATCAGTGAAACATGTCTCATGCTAATTTGTCTTTGCAAAATACTCAAGTGTGGAAGGAAGGAACTTAACTCCATAAGGATGGGGGCGTGCACTGCAGCTCAGCGCCGGTTGTTAAGTCCTGTAGCTCTGATAATATCACCAAAGAAATACCGTTCTTCCATCTCTCTTCAAATATCCTGCATTTTCTGAGTCAACCTCTCTTTTTGGATATAGCACATTGTGCTGAGCTAGGGTTTTGCAGCATCAGCACAATGTGCACAGCAACTCCTCTTTGTACATGACGTTACACCCTGCTGAGAAGATAGTCCAAAGCACCACGTTCAAATAAGTTACTGTATCATTTTCAAAATGTTCCCCTTTCTCCTCAAAATGGTCTCGCAGCCTGACTGAACCTGCTGGTTTGACACCCCTGCTTTAGAGTGTCAAATCTGAATGAATCTTCCTTCCTGTAAAGGAGTGAGGCCCACCCCTGGAATGAATCCATCAAAAATTGTAAATTAACACCTGCACTCTGTCTTAATTGCACAAAAACATTGGCAGAAGATTCCTAGCAGAATTTAGACAGTGTGCAGGAGTTTGTCTGAAAATGTCAGTCAATACAAAACATGAATTCACCCTATATTGGTGCCAAGGGCTTCTTTTTTTGTTACCGTGGTAACCAAAGTGGGGAAAGATATCGTTTAATTTAAACTGGAGTCGTATTGAAGTTATAATTGTGGTATAGTGACCACAGTACAAGTCTGCCTGGAACACATTATGAACATGGCAGTAAACACAGCGGAACACACGCTGTAATGAAATCAAACTCACTTTCTGTCCGTGTGGTCGAGCCCACTGAGCCGGACCCCTTCGATCTGCTCGTTGCGTTGACCACAGGTGTTGCCATAGCTATCATATCCGTATACGAGACGTGCGGCGCCGCCGGTGGCAACAGTGAATCCACAGATGCTGCCCTGAAAAAAAAAAACAGAAAGAGCGAGAGATGCCGAAAAGTCAGTGAAGATGTAATTTAAGAATCAGATGAAGCTTTCAGACTGAAGGAAATATGAGCATAAATTATAATAAATAATAAAATCATAAAAATCCACCAGTAGGATGTTTCTCATAAGCTGTGAGCAGAGTATTCAGCAACTTTACTTTGATTTGAATCAGCTGTGACTCATCACAAACACGATTTGTTTATCATTTTGTTTGTCAAAATACAGTTTATCGATTTTCAGAGTACAATTGGTTCCTCTTTCACACATCTAGTGAAGCTGCTGTGATGTCACACAGGTATAAAGGTGTGTAAGGATAGTCATGATGAGGACAGGTCAGGTGTGAGTGCAGTGGTTACCATGCCAACGCAGAAGACGATGAAGAGCAGGAACCAGGGCAGGTCTGTGGAGCTCCGGTCCTCCAGCGGTCTCCATTCTCTCTTTGTCCTCTGAAAAACACACACACACACACACACACACACACACACACACACACACACACACACACACACACACACACACACACACACACACACACACACACACACACACACGGTCACGCCGGGATTCGGGCCGAGCCGTGCCCACCCCTCAGCCTGTCCCCGGCCTGTTAGCACGGCTCGGCTCGGCTCGGCTCGGCTCGGCTCGGCTCATCTCAAATCACATCACACAAAGAGAGCTGCAGCTTTTAGCAGGCCACGGTTACCCGCCTGGCACCGGTCCCGTAAGCAGGCCCCGGTAACCCGCCTGGCCCCGGTCCCGTTAGCAGGCCCCAGTAACCCTCCTGACTCTAATTGGATTACAGCCGCTGGCTCTAATCCCAGCTCGGCCCTCTCCGCTCCCCGGCTCCGCTCTCCCTTTTCCCCGGTGATAGTACAAACAAACATCGGGGCTCCGCTGAAGGACACCGGAGGAGGAGGAGGAGGAGGAGGAGGGGGGGGGGGGGGAGAGGATGGGGACGAGTCGAGCCGGGCCGGGCCGTCCCGTTCTTACCTCCGTGCTACCGCAGCATCCCATTGCAGTCAGGGTGACTGTGCCCGGACCTCACGGAGCTTCACGGAGCTTCACGGAGCTTCAGCTCGGCAGCAGTGGGGTCTGAAGCCCGGCAGGCGGGAGGGAGGAGACGGACAGTCAGCGGCGCGATCCCGGAGGCCGAGCCCGGAGCGAAGACGCTGCTGACGGTCACTCTGAGTGGTGCAGCCCGCTGAACATGCTACTGTCAGTGTCGATCGGGGATTAACGGCCGAGGATTTGTCCGCCACACTTCCTGGTGGCCCGTCAGGTGCAGCGGCCATTCATCTCATTGCGCATGCGCAATTAGCGCCCGAGCCGGAGCGGAGGAGCTGAATAACAGCGGAGCTGCAGGTCCTCCTACCCACAGACTGTCCTACCCCGTGTGACCGCTGACTGCAGTCTAAACACAGAGTAGCGCTGTTTCCTCCACTGGGAAACATTTTACCTTGAACCTCTCAGTAAGACCATAAAGCCCATTTTCAACCGAAGGTCCCCAGAACTAAAAGGTTCAGGGGGCTTTTCTTAAAGGAACTGAAAGGTTCCTGCTAAAGCCACCGCTGCCTGAAGTCCCGGGACGATTATGCAAATCAGACTGTATTGCTTTGCAAATGGATTAATTGATTAACAATGTTTAGTGTGTCATTAAACGGGAAAGAGGACTCAAAATGTTAAAATTCTTAACACTGGATACCTCACTCTCCTCATTTCACCTAACACCTAAGAAACACCTTTAGGAAGATAAATTATATTAATCAACATTCTTTAAAGTTAATATTGGGTGGGGGAGTATTTTTCTTGACTAGACATTTAAACTTTAGAACATCTGATTGTGAATATTGCAAGATCTTTGTAGGGATCATTTTAAAATTGATTTATGAAAAAGATTAACAGTCATCAAAGTCAGAATATTATATTATCAAAGATGTTTTTTATAATGGAGACTAAAATGAAAATGTACACAATTCCCTCATTATTT